CCAGCAGTGTGCCCAGGTGGCCAAGAAGGCCAAGAGCATCCTGGCTTGCATCAGAAATAGTGTGGCCAGCAGGACCAGGGAAGTGATCGTCCCCCTGTGCTTGGCACTGGTGAGGCCGCACCTCGAGTCCTGTGTTCAGTTTTGGGCCCCTCACTACAAGAAGGACCTCGAGGTGCTGGAGTGTGTCCAAAGACGGGCAATGGAGCTGGTGAAGGGTCTGGAGCACAAGTCTTATGAGGAGCAGTTGAGGGAACTGGGGTTGTTTAGTTTGGAGAAGAGGAGGCTGAGGGGAGACCTTATCGCTCTCTACAACTACCTGAAAGGAGGTTGTAGCGAGGTGGCGGTCGGTCTCTTCTCCCACGTAACAAGGGATAGGATGAGAGGAAACGGCCTCAAGCTGTGCCAGGGGAGGTTTAGGTTGGATATTAGGAAAAACTGCTTCACCGAAAGGGTAGTCAGGCCCTGGCACGGACTGCCCAGGGAGGTGGTTGAGTCCCCATCCCTGGAGGTATTTAAAAGATGGATAGACGTGGTGCTCAAGGACATGGTTTAGTGGTGGGCTTGGCAGTGATAGTTTAACGGTTGGACTCATATTTATATATATCGTATTTATATTGTATTTATATATATATCATATTTATAAAATGCTGTTATCTACCTTTTTGTTTAGGTTTCTCCAGATCTTTAAGGATAGATTGTTTTCTGCAAGCTCTGCCTCGAGTGTAAAACTCCAGATTTCATTAAGTCTGTGCTACAATGATGATGGATGCTCCTTAAAGCTTTTGCGAGAATGTTTCTGCTTTACCTACGTTGACAGATGCCATGTACGTTGTATTGTAAAGGCTACTCGTGTTGATGGATACTGCTGTTGCCATTTGGAGATCGTGCTACTTAGAGTGCACTAATGTTATGCTGGTGAATTGGTCCAATATTGAGTCAGACTGAAGAATGCCACCCCTTAAACCAAGGAGTTAAACCTTGTTTCCTCTACTGGACCAGAATTGTACGTCCAATCAGAAGAACTGCTTCAAAATAATGTAGATAATTCCAACCTTTCTCCACTTGTTAAAGACAAACTGTTCTTAGCTTGTGAATAGCGTGATCATTCATTTGGCTTATTTACCGTTCTCCGAGATAAGACGTATTAAGCTAGCACTTGCCTAAGCCTAGTGAGAGAAGAGAAAGGAAAGGTAGATGGTTTATCAAAATCAGCTCCCTCTCTTTAGGCGGCTGAGCGACTCTTTGAACAGCAACACAGCCTAAATACCTGGTTTTTACTTTTATGATGTATGTTGCAGCCTGACCTGAAGAGCCAGTCTGCTGTTGAGAGTATAAGAGGATGAGTTCAGTGCCTGCTGTTCCTACAGGAATTGGAGGTGAGCAGCAGTATTTGCAGGTTTGGAGCTGCTCTTGGGCCTGGAGTGTCCAGGCTAAGGGTTGTCACAGTGTTGAGATAAGCTCTCCTTTGTTTTACTCTCTAGCACTGTGCTCAGAAGGTCAAACTGAGGGCTGAGGCTACAGTGGAGTTTAGACCAGATTCATGTGCCAGTTACAAGATAGTTTTGTTGGGTTTTTTATTATTACAGTCCTTGTGACATTTTATGTAGCACATACTACTGGATACAAATGTCTGTTAGAGCTGGGAATAGTCTCTTTGTAGTAGCTCAGTTTGGCTCTTCGCAAGGCCACTGCGGAGCCGTGGCAGTGCTAGGGACGGCACACAGCAGCCTTGCTGCAGGGCTGGCAGTGTACCCAAGGACCAAAAGCCTGTTGTGTTACTGAAGTGGAAGCAGGCTGCTTCCCCAGAAACTACGCCCAGTCCCTTCAAAACGTTATTTCCAGGCATGGGGTTGGGTAGCGTCACAGCACAAGGGTGGCTCAGTCACACACCGCAGAGCATGGAGTGTGTGCATACAAGGAACACTTCTGTATGGGGCTTTTTTAAGAAGTAATATTTAGAACCTTGTTGTTCCAGTGTGCATGCTTCCATGTGATTTATGATGACTGTAAATAAGGGAATGTGTTACATTTTTGGCATTTTGTCTTTATGCAGAAGAATTAAAGACTTTAACTTTAAAAATCCCCATTAGTCTGCTCTTGCTGTTATGTTGTCAGAGTTCCATTATAAAAGGAATATGTGCGTTCAGTAGTCCTTTTTTGTTGTTTGTTTTACGGTGCTTTTTTATTTTGAGGGGGTTTTTTAGCCTTTGCTAAACAGAGGAAGGAGGACTTTGGAGAGTAAATCAAACTCTTGTAGGGGGTTTACAGTACAACTTGGGTTGTGTCCAACTTCTCAGTTTGTATTTTGACATCTTGTCACGAACTTGTATTTAGTGCATTATAACCTAGTGGAAGGGAGCAGCTGAAGCCCCAGCACCCAATCTGCCATGAGAAAGGTGTCCTCCTGGAGAGGATGGAGCTGTTAGGTGAGAGTAATAGGCTGTCATGAAATACTTCAGCTCAGCTGTCAGAGCCCTTAAGCTTTTGCCGATGATGGACGGGCCTGCAGTGGATTTATGGACACAAATCCATAGGACTGGTAATTCCGTAGTCCTTAAAAGATCTTGTATCTTCAACTGAGAAATACTTAGACTAGAAATAGAATAACGAATTTGCCTGCGGCTGTTAAATTTTGGGCAGTTTTTTTCCCTAATCCAGGTTCTGTGTGCTTGGACAAGCTATGCTGGCACAAGGAAAGGAATGATACTGAGCAGATGAGGTTTGAGGTCTGCTGAAGTTATTTCATGCAATGCTGCTGCTGGATGTAGAACCATTGTAACGTCTTCTAATTAGTAACAGTACCCTCATCAGTCTAAACAGAGCAGTTAAAAGTGGAATGCAATCCATCCATTCACTTGTTTATCTAGCCAAGGCTATTTGCAGTAAGACTTTACAACTGAGGTAAGCAAAGCTGAAGTCTGGCACTCCACCCCCAGTTTGTATTTGGTAGCCTTCCATTAATTTTACCTATTTTAGTTAAATCCAGTTTGCATAAATCTGTGCTCAGTTCGTAATTAAGCCAAAATAAACTTTGAACTTCACCAGCCACGTTTACATTTCTTCCAAGAAGTGACATGTATCTTCTGTTGGCATGCTTCCACTGGGAGAATCTCCCTACAGCTGGTACATTATCTGTGCTTGTTTAAACAGTCCTTCACTAGCAGTTCTGAAATGCCATTGGTTATGTGTGCTCTGTTTTGGTTTTAAAACTGCTCCTTTGAGGTCACAGTGATGAGGATATCTCCTCCTCCCCTTAAAATTCCCACTGTGGTGTGAAAGTGTTTTTCTGAGGTATTTTCTTTACTGACAAGGACAGAAAGATGCAAGGCAGCTGTAACCCCTAAGCTGTGTTACAGCACATAGTTCTGATTGATAAACTGAATTTAATTTGTACGTAGTGCTATGCTAAAAGTACCACGTGGCTTCCAGGCTGGAGCTGCCCTCTGCCTGGCTTGCTTGGATGCGTTCAGGTAAACATGCCGTTCAAGTAATCTTATCTCAGAGCAAGGCTGGAGGAGATGGAGTTTGTTTGTACGTGTTTTGAACCCAAGCATGTCCTTGGTTCAGAAACACAGTTCTGTCTTCCATAGCAGTGTGTGGGAAAGGAGAGGTGCTAGCATAGCAAACTTTCTTGCAGGAGCATGGGTGTTTATGCAGATGCCACACAGAAGGTGTGTGAATTTGTACTATTATGGTAAGGCCAGGCAAAGGGAAAGGAACTGCCAAGGTATCCCTTACATTGTACTGTTTTCAGATCTTAGCGTTTGACTGAGCACAGAGCCAGCTCGACTGTTATCACCCAGAGGCAGGCATTTTGGAGACATCCTACAACAGAGATCTCTGAAGAGAAAAGTACAGGACCTGTGTACAACCTTCGAGGAAAAACCCAGGAGTCAGTGGAAAGTGAACACAGTTCTCCCTTACCTCTTCTCAGAGTACTACTGCTTTCAGCCAGGAGCACTAGGTATGTAGACATTCCACCCAAAAAGCACTATTAAACAGCTAAAACACCATTTCCAAATACGTACTTAGCAGGAGTCTTTGAGATGCATGCATATAATGAGAATGCAGATGCAATTTGTAGAAGTGAAACATTTTAATTCAGTGCATTCTCAAATGGGAAAAAAGTGTAAAAACATTGAAAAGTCAAGCAAAATAATGCAAGAAAAATCAATAGGAAGTTAGCCAGCTGCTTAGATTTCAAACTGTTTAATTTCTAAAAGCCATTGCAAATTATTGTCTGAAGACTCCTGGTCTGGCTTGGTGCAGTTCCCAAGGCAGGCTGGCAAGGAGCAGTCTTCTTTCCACTTCTGAAGCTGTTAGTTTTGCTGGGAAGTTAGTGTGAGTGTCTGTGTGTATTCATCCATCCATTGTCTGGCACAGCTTTGCCAAAAAAAAAAAAATCAAGTCATTGAATGGTGTTTGTGCCTTTTTGGAAAAAATAGCGTGCATTTCTCCTGCTTTTAAC